AACCTTTGGTTTTAACGAAAAATTCCCCTGGATCTTTGAACAGCCTTTTCTCCTTTTGTCTTCCCAGGTAGCTTGGTGTGATTGTCGCCTTCACAAAACCATGGGAAGCACAACGGAAGTGGATAAGAAAGTGATATTGAAAGAATGGACACAGGTGAATTGCTCTAAAAAAAGAAATAATAATTGATCAAATGTATTTGCGTTTTGGGCGTGTGAATAATCTCTGAGCAAGGCAGCAAAATTTGGCCAAGTTATTTTCAAGTGAGTCAGCTGTGCACCCTGGCGGGCCCCGATTTATATGTAAATTCATGCTAATGTATACAAATACCCTGATAGGAGACCTTGGTAATTGGTTAAGGCGTGGTGGGGCTTTTAAAAATATCTTTAAAATCAAACTTTCCTATTGATTCTGTTTTTTTTTATCTCGGCTGAAATATTGAATGGGGTTACCCCACTATTTCCTGCACCCTGAAAAGGAGAGTATAACCCTCTTATAAACATATGGGTTACGTTTTACCAGATTTTCATTTGTTCCCCAACTTCTTCGTCAATAAAAATTCAGCAAGAATTTGCAGCGAAATCCTAGTCAGGAGAAGCTTGCTAAAAATCTTGCTAAATTCTTATTTCAGAATTGTCCTCTGCCTTATTGACAAGGGGAAAAAAGTAAGTTTAGAGTCAGCCTTCATCAGTTCTTCCTTGCTGTCAGGAGTTTAGAATCCAGCTGATGTATTAAGTGAGTGGTGGGCAACCTTTTGTGACTCCTGTGCCAAAAATTGTATGCATGCCAGCATCCAGAAGGCAATGCGCCCCCCCCCCCCCACCACCCCCACCTGCAGGAGGAACGCCCCCCCCCCCCCCCCCCCCACTGCCCGTTTACCTGCACCGTGCCTCACAGCTCATTTTCGGCCAATTTGAGACCCCTTTGGGCCTCCCAGAGGCTTGAGGAAGGCTTCTGCAGGCTTTGCAGGCCAAAAACCAGGCCCGTTTCATCACTTTGGGTATTTTTGGGGAAACAGGGAATGACGAAACGGGCCTAGTTTTTGGCCTGCACAGCCTGCAGAAGCCTTCTTGCATTCAAATGGAGACCTCTCCTTGTCTTTTTTCTTCAAAGCTTACAGAAACCTCACGCCATCTTGTTTTTGTAACGGGCTTAGCGTCGCTCCAGCTGGGTTACAACCACTGGCTCTGCTACTCGGACACTAAGGTGAGTGACCTTCGCAAAGAAGGTGCCAGCTAAGATGCGACAAACCGGATGATATTTCTGTCATCTTTGCATGTTTATTTTGATAAATTTTATTGAATTTTCAACTTTAAAAACAAATTCTATACACATTTTTTGCAGTTTTTTGTGACATCAGTTATTCCATTCTCCTGTACATACACATACACACACACACACACGCACACACACATACTATTTACAATTACACTTTAACAGTTTTACTTTTACATTCTCTTTTCATTCTGTTGTCTAACCAGACATACCATTTTCCCCAGACCATAAAGTATTCTTTTTCTTCCCTCTCCTGCAATTCCATTGTGAATTTGTTCATTTCTGCGCAATCCGTTACTGTCATGTAACGGGGGGTTGGAGATTGACTCTGAGGGAGAGGTGGAACAGCTGACGGAGTGGAAGTGGGGCTCTGGAGGTTGTGGAGGAGGCTGGGGAAGGACAGAGGCCGACTGGGCAGTCAGAGGAAGACCCAGGCCCATCCCCTCTCCATCCTAGGGCATGCAGGGAGGAGAGGATAAGGGAGAGACAGGAATGGCGTGGTCTATGGGGGAGGAAAGGGCCCTGATCCCCTTCACGGGCTGCAGCTGTGAGAACTGGTTAAAAGGACGGACATGCCTATGGGCCGGTGCTGGAAACAAACCGTGGAAATATCTCTAGTCTGTCCTTCCTCTCTGGGTTTGACGTCCTTCCCAGTGTGTATTCACTAAACATGAAACTCAGTCAACCACTGGATAAACTAGAGATATTTCTATGCTTTGTTTCCAGCGTTTGCCTGTACGCATGTCCATCCTCTTATTCAGTTGTCACAGCTGCAGCCCATGAAGAGGATCAAGGCCCTCTCCTCCCCCATAGACCACATCTCTCCCTTATCCTCTCCCCCCTGCATGCCCTAGGATGGAGAGGGGATGGGCCTGGGTCCTCCTCTGACTACTCAGCCGGCATCTGTCCTTCCCCAGCCTCCTCCACAACCTCCGGAGCCATACTTCCACTCCCTGTCGGCTGTTCCTCCTTTCCCTCAGAGTCTGTCTCCACCAGGGGCACGACATGGTCTCTATTTCAGTTGCTCCTTCCTTCCTTCCAGCTCATCCGACAGTTTTATAATCTAACCTATCACAACGGGAAGAAAAATGACAGTCAAAATGATACAATTCACGACGAGTTTGTGATCGGTGTAGCCAGCAGCCTGTTTCCTCTTGGAGCCATGCTGGGTTCACTTCTTGTTGGAGTCCTGGTGGATAAATATGGCAGGTAAATGGATTTAGGGTGCTGCGAAGACCCATCTGTGAAGGCGGTTTTGGAGTAGAGTGAAAGAAAGAAGGGAAAGAAAAGAAGAGAGTGACATCTTAGTCCGCTCCAAGAAATGTGGGTTGAAGGTCACCTTCACAAGCCCCCAAGATGGTTGGATATGGAATTTGATCTTCTCCAAGAAGGAGAATAGATTGGAATGAAGATTGAGGTTCATTAAAGCAACTAGGTCTGCGTGCAGAATGAGGGTTTCCTCATTATTCCCACTATTCTCAACCTCTGTATCTTGATTTATATTGCTGGGTATTGGGTGAACTCAGAGAGTGTTGGCTTAAATGAATAAATCATGGTTAAAGCACCTCTTAGATAGATACCATTCCTGGACAAGTTAAACCTGAACGATAGATCCCTAAAACTAAGTTTTCCACCTCATTAGGACCTCCCAATTCTCTCTCCCAATGCCCCCCGGTCCTTGACTTCTTCTCCAATACTACCCAAGATGGACGAGACTTCTGAACCCCACCATTTCTTTCTGTTATGTCTTCAGGAAAGGGACAATGATGTCCAATAATTACATTTCCTTGGTGTGTTCCATGTTGATGATATATGCCAACCTTCAGCACGGATTTATCTTCGCCATGTTTTCCCGTTTCTTTATTGGCATCTCAATGGGTGAGTAGGGGAAGTGTGTGTGTGTGTGTGTGTGTGTGTGTATCATTTCATGTTGAACCCTCCTAAGCGAAGAGAAAGTTGCCTCGCCAGGAAACAGGCCCATGTTTTCCAATGAGAACAACTGCCACGGTTTAATGTTGGTGGCCGAAGCGAGGACCTTAGCACTGAATAGGATGATCTTCCCTTAAAGCTGTTCCACTCCCTGACTTAAATGCATCCACGATCCTTCCGAGGTGCTGCCCAGATGTGGTTTTACACAGTGGTGGGATTCAGATTTTGTTTTACTATCGGTTCTGTGAGCAAGGCTTGGTGGGCAGGGCAGGGGAAGGAGACTGCAAAATCCCCATTCCCTCCCAACCTCCCTACCCTGCTTTCCAGCTACGTTCTCCTGTGCAGGGCAACCAAAGAAGACCCAGCTGATCAGCTGGGACTTGGGAGGCAGAGAATAGATGGGGGTGGGGCCAGTCAGAGGTGGTATTGGCCGGTTCTCTGAATGACTCAAATTTTCCGCTACCGGTTCTCCAGAACTGGTCAGAACTGGCCACCTCTGGTTGTGGACTTCAACTCCCAGAGTTCTTCAGTCAGCATACCTTGCTGAGTAGTTCTGGGAGTTGAAGCCCTACAAGTCTTAAAGTTGCCAAGTTTGAAGACTCCTCCTCTAGCGCTACATTACCAATAACAAAGGAAGGTTTTCTGAACATGTCTGGAATGTTATTGTTCCACAGGTATTTTCTCCAGCGTGATTCCTATGTATCTCCTAGAGACCAGCCCCCTGAATATGAGGGGTTCCATCGGTATGGTGCCCCAGTTCTTTCTAGTGATCGGGGTCCAACTGGCTCAGATATTTGCCTTTCCTGAACTACTGGGCACCGTAGAAGGTAACTCCATTTCCTCTTGATTGGGTGGGCTGGAAGTGTTGGGATTACATCACCCAACATCCCTTCCTTCGACCACTGGTTTCTCTTCATGCAGGTTGGCCAGTCCTGGTGAGTTTGCCTGGGCTCTTAGCTATCTGGCAGATCCTTCTGTTCCCTTCCTGCCCTGAAAGTCCAAGGTACCTGTTGATGCAGAAGAAAGAAGAAGAAGAAGCCAGAGAAGGTACCTGCTAGGGTTGGGATAGAGCCATATTTAAATTTGTTGCAGCCTGTGTGGTGTTTAAACAAGTCCAAACTCTAGGAAATGTGAAAATGTGGAGTGGTCAGAGGAGGTATTATCTCATTGATTATGTTCCATCAAGTTGTTGTTGACCCTTAGTGGCCACATAAATAAGTTTTCTCCAGGAGGATCTGTCCCCAGCTTGGTCCTTCAGAACTTCCAGTGATTCACTCCTCATCCCTCCAGCTAAGTTCAGACATCGAGACTCCATTAATTCATGGTTTGTTCCCGACAAATGCCCCTCCTTAAGTGTCTCCTTAAGTCTCGATCCCCAGGTGTGCCTTGTGGAGAGGGGCGGGGCGCTCTCCTCCCGAGTACTCGCATCAGTCTGTGCTGTTCTTGCCTTCTCTCCACCCTCCGTACTTGAGGATCAGGAGGGTCCTTTCTCATCGACTCTGTTTCTCATGTTCACTGCTTAGCCTCTCTTGGTCATCCTGCCCGCCCTTCCTCCCTGCCTACAAGCCACCCCAATCCTGAAAGGCCTGGCCCTGGCCTGACTGGCCCTGCCCCTCCCCGTTTCCCTCCGAAGCCACCGAAGCTGCTCTAGAGATTGTCTGTTCATGCAGTTAATAAATGAAGTGCTACATGAACATCTTCATAAGGGGATTCTTGTGTACTTGGTTGACATCCTCATCTACCCTGAGACGATGGACGACCAGATACCCCTAGTCCACCAGGTACTAGAAAAACTTCTAGCAGCGCACCTGTGTGTCAAGCTGTCGAAATGCAAATTTCCCCACACACAGTTGAACTACCTGGGCTACCAATGAGGGCATAGAGACGGACCCAGCCAAAGTACAAGCCATTCTGGACTGGCCACAACAAATAGAGATTCTGCTAGAAGTTTTTCTAGTATCTGGCAGACTGGGGATATGCTCATATTCCCTCAGAGATTCAGGCTCCGGCGGGAAAGCATGACACCATCCCATTCTTATCCTTATCCTGTATTCTTGTCCTACTCCAACCTCAACCTTTTTGGGGAGGTTCTGTTTCTTCCCCCCAGTTCTCAAGCACCTCAGGTTGCAGAGTGACGTCGAGGACGAACTGGAGGAGCTCCGACGGGAGGACCTTTTTGAGAAGGATGAGAAGAACATGAATACCCTGCGGCTGCTGTGCTATCGTCCACTCCGTTGGAACCTGGTTTCGGTGGTGATCATCGAAACAGGCCAGCAGCTTTCTGGCGTCAATGTGGTAAGGCAGGAGTGTCAAACTGGATTTCTTTGAGGGCTAGATCGGCATTGTAGTTCTCGTCCGAAGGGGCTGTTTTCCAGGCCATTTGGGGGGGTCTTTGGGGGCCTCTTTTGGGGCCGTTTTCCCAGCCGTTTCAAGGCTGTTTCATCTAGTCCAACCCCTCGCCCAAGCAGGAGACCCTAGACCATTTCTGACAGATTATCATTGTCTTGAAAGCCTCCGGGGATGAAGCTTCCACAACTTCTGCAAGCAACTTCTGTTCCATGGGTTGATTGTTCTCCCTGTCAGGAAATTCCTCCTTATTTCCAGGTTGAATCTCTCCTGGATCAGTTTCCATCCATTATTATTCATTTTCTGGCCTTCAGGTGCTTTGGAAAATAGCTTGACCCCTTCCTCCTCTCTGGGGCAGCCCCTCAAATATTGGAAGGCTGCTCTCCTGTCTCCCCTGGTCCTTCTCTTCCCTAGACCAGCCAGGCCCTCTTCCTGCAACCGTTCTTCATATGTTTTAGTCTCCAGCCCCCTTAATCCTCCTGGTTCCTCTTCTCTGCCCTCTTTCTAGAGTCTCAACCACTTTTTTTATAGTGTGGTGACCAAAACTGGATGCAGGACTCTAGGTGTGGCCTTACTAAGGCTTCTTAGAGTCTATAAGTCTTAAAGTTGCCAGGTTTGGAGACTTCTCTGCTCTAGGCATACATAACCCAAAATGATGAAGATCGTCTGAACGTGTCTGGAAACCGAGTTCTTTTGTTGTGCTGGTTTTCTTTCAGATCTACCTCTACATTGAGGAAATGCTCTACTCTACCGGGTTAAGCCACAAAAACGCCCGATATTTCCAAATGATGACCACTGGCCTGTTAATCTTGGCTATCTTATTTGGGGTGAGCATCTCCTCCTCCTCCTCCTCCTCTTCTACGTTTCTTCTTCCTTTTCCTTTTCTTCCTCTTCCTCCTCCTCCTCTTCTTCTTTTTCCTCGTGTTCTTCCTCCACCTCCTCCTCTTCTTCTAATTCTTCTTTTCTTCCTCCTCCTCCTCCTCCTCCTCCTCCTCCTCCTCCTCCTCCTCCTCTTCTTCTTCTTCTTCTTCTTCTTCTTCTTCTTCTTCTTCTTCTTC